TACCCCCCAGCTCTAAATCTATCATGTCCTCTTTTTAAAAAAAAAAAGAAAGAAAGAAAGAAAAAAGAAAGCCTTGATTTCATTTAAAAAGCTGTTGAAATTCTCTGAGAACACACCCACCAAGCCTTCATCTTCTTTCCCAGAGATCTGGTCTGCTTGAGGAGAGCTGGGAGGGAGGCGGTCATTCCTGCAGGACTCCCATGAGATCCTTTGGCCTCTTCTGGGATCACAGTGGCTGCTCTTAAAAACAGAGACTTTTCTGCCTTTGAAGTTACAGGCCCAGGTGACCTTAGAAACAACTGCCATGACAACCCTATTTCCAGAATTCTGCCCATTTTAATTAAAAGCTGTGGGAAGCAACATGAGTCAAACTTCCCCATGAAGTTACTGCATCCAGGGAACTGCTTAGCTCCACTCTGCTTGTTTCAGAAAATGGCTGGAGCGGGGTAGGTAGATGGTGCAGTGGATAGAGGATTGGCCCTGGAGTCAGGTGGACTCCAGTCTTCAAATCCAGTCTCAGACACCGACTAGCTGTGTGACCCTGGGCAAGTCACTTAACCCCAACTGCCTCCAAAAAAAAAATAACTATGGAGGCAGACATCTGGGTGTAATGGGAAAAACTCTGGAGTCAGAGGACCTGAATTCAAATTCTCCCTCTTCTGCTTAATACCTCAGTGACCTTAGACAAGAGCACTCTATCAAATGCTGGGCTTTGAGTCAGGAAGACTCATTTCCTTGAGTTCGAATGTAGCCTCTGACACTTGCTAGCTCTGTGACCTTGGGCAAGTCACTTAACACTGTTTGCATTAGGAGAAGGAAATGACAAACTACTCCAGTATCTTTCCCAGATGGGGTCAGGAATAGAGTTAGAGCTGGAAAGCCATCAAATCAACCTCCCCCCTTATTTTATAGATGAGGAAACTGAGGTACAGAAAGTGTAAGTGACTTTCCCAGGGACACGTAACTAAGGTCTTTCTGACTCCCAGTCCAGCATTCTACCCACTTCTTACCTCTTATTACTTCACAGCAACATAGATTGTAAGAAGATAGGGGTGCTGTTAAACTAGGGGTCTCAAATCCTCTCTGCCTGGGCCTCTTGCTTCCTTGTTAACACCTGACTGTTATTGTTCAGTTATTTCAGTCCTGTCCAACTCTTTGTGAATGCACTTGGGATTTCTTGGTAAAGCCACTGGAGTGGCATGCCATTTCCTTCTTCAACTCAGTTTACAGATGAGGAAACTGAGGCAAACAGGGTTAAGTGACTTGTCCAGGGTCACACAGCTAATGTTTGAGGCTAGATTTGAACTCAGGAAGATGAGTCATTCTATCCACTGTGCCACCTAACTGCCTGTATCATCACATATAGCAACTTACTGTAAGTGTCCCCTTTCCCCCACAAGAATGAGTTCAGTGTCTCTTCCCCAATTAAAACTGGAAACTCATTGAAGGCCAGAACTTTATCCTCTGTGTTTTTACTTTCTCTCAGTGTCTACTTTTGTCCTGGCTACACAGTAGTTGCAAAGAGGTAGATTTCGGAAAGGAAAAACTTTCTAACATTCAGAGCTGCTTCAAACTGGCTGTTTGGAAAAGAGTGAGTTCCCTATAAAAGGAGGTCTTCATTGGAGTTTAGGTGACCTTTAGCAGGCACATGAGACGGAGTATTCCTGTTCAGTTATGGGTTAAATTGGATGGCCGATGGGGCCTCTTCTAGCTTTGTGATTCTGTGGATTCTTTTGATTGACTGGGAGCACTCTTGGGAGAGGGGAGGCTAAGAGCATTCACACTGCCACTTGTGCCCGATGGGGCTGAGAAGCCAAGGGGGGCTCAGGGCAGGAGAGCTGGTGTAGTAGTTTTCTCAAAGGCCACTGGACCAAACACTGAGTGTCTGGCTTCTGTATATATAAGCTTATATATATGTGTGTGTGTGTGTGTGTGTGTGTGTGTATATATATACACATATTATATATACATATATAAGCTATAAGGCTTCTCAGGGCCTTATAAACCATGTCCTTGGCCAAGTTACAGTATCTCTGGTTTCCTTTTCTGTAAAATGGGGATTAAAAACAATGGCCTCACTATGGTCTAAAATGGTCAGGGGTAATAAATAAATAAGAAGAACAGCTAACATTTATTTAGCCTTTTAAGGTTTGCCAAATGCTTTATACATGTTCTGGGTTGGTCCTCATAACAGTTCAGGAGGTAAGTGCCATTATTATCCCCATTTTACAGATAAGAAAGCTGAGACTGGATTTGAACTCAGGTCTTCCTGATTCCAGGGTAGGCGCTCTGTCCACTGTGCTCTTCCTCTCTAAGTTTGAAATAAAAAGTAGAATGATCGGGCCAGGGCTTAATGAGCATCAGTGTCCGTACTTAATAGAGCAGGAAGGCATAGGTCAAGGGATGCCTGCAGACCAGGTTAGCAACCCTTTCAAAACATTTGATTCAACACTGCTGATGCCACTCTATATGTCACTGGGCTCAGCACAGGAACATCAAAGACGGTTTCTACACAGGCCCTTTTCTCAAGGATCTCATCGTCCAACACTCAAAGAACCAGCACAGTGATAACTATGCTTACAGAGGAGATGGGCATGAGTACAAAGGCTAGAGCTTCTACTAGGAGAAACTGAAGCAATGAGGGATGACTTTTAGCAAGGGGAGGTGAAAAGTGTATAGGGGAAGGCTTCAAAATAATCTTCCTAAAACACAAAGTCGGGGCATGTCACTCCCCGGCTCAAGCATCTTCAGAGGTCCCTCCAGGATCAGATTCCTCCTCGTGGCATTCACAATCTGGCTTTGGCCTCTCTGTGTAGGCTGACAGCACCCTTCTCACACTGCATTCCCCAAAGATCTGCTCATTTGCTGTTCTCTGAATTGACCTCTGCTTGCCCCCCCAGTCTGTCCTCCATGCATAGAATGTACAATCACATTATTTCTGCCTCTTACAATCCCTATCTTCCTTCAAGGCTCCTCCTGGGGTGTGCTTGTAAACCTTTAACAACAACTGGGGTGGGGGGGGGGGGCTCGGAATGTGTATGCCTCACTTTTAAGTGCAATCTACATTATTAACATCCAGCGCTTTCTTAAGTCTAGTCTATCAGTACAACAATAAATTAAGCCCGATTTGTACCATTTGCCGAAATGCTCACAATGAAAACTTAACAATCGGATCTCTTGGAAGCCAGTACCAGCTGACTCCTTCAGGCCTCCGGCCTCTTCTTCTATGCCATCTCCCCGGGAAGCATTTCCTGATTCTCCCAGTTTAGCGTTCTCTCCCTACGCTTCAAATTATCATGTGTATGGTTTATGTATCTACTTTCAGTCAGGCAGTGGAGGCCCTCAAATGCCTAGATCGGTAGTTCGTACTTCATTTCATTGGCAAAGGGGGAAGCACTGAAGGGTTCGGAACCAACCAGTGTCCACGACCATAACAGCGAGTCAGGTTGATTACGCAACGTGGGTGAAGAATGAATTGGAGAGAGAACACATAGAAGACAGGTCAGTTAGAAGCTAATTATAAAAGCTCAAAAGAGAAGGGATGAGGTCCCGCGTCGTAGTGAGAAGCGAGAGAAAGTCTGATGCTAGAAATTCTGCAGCAGCAGAAAGGACTTTGTACTCAGCGGCTCGCTCCACGCTTCTGCAGACAGAGAACCAGGAAGTGCTGTTGGGGGTCCAAGACAGCAAAAAGCCATCTCTACGGGGCCCTTTCAGGGTTACTTAAATCCCAATGTAAAGAGGAGGAAATGGGTCCTGGGAGGACCCACAAGCACTGACCCCCAGGCCAGTGTTTGTGGACTCAGTTTTCCCCGTTTTGGTCCGTATTGCGTCCATCTCCCACAACTGGGATCCTCCCCCTTTCCGTTGTTTCCCTCCGCTCCCACCGCCGCCTGTGGGAGCGCGGCGCCCTCAGTTCTGCGCCCTTCCCTGGGCGCCCAGGCTAGGACGCGCCACTCACTCATAATCCAATTGGTAGCGGGGGCGGCGCAAACCTGGAGCTTCACGGGGAAAGCGCTGGTTGGGCAGGCAGGGGCACCTACCTGCGTGCTTTTGCAGTGGGGCGGGCCCGCTTTCCCCAAGCAGGCTGGGCTAGCGCTGGGGCGAGTTCCGCCCCCCGGGACCCGCCAGGGCCCGGCAGCGGGGGCAGCTCCAGCCCACGTGCGCCAGCCTGCGGTGACAGCTAGCCCGGCAGGGCGGGGCCGGTGCTCGGGGGCTGGCCTCCTATTGGAGGGAGGCCGAGCCGGGGGAGGCCGCCCCGCCCCCGTGGGGCAGCTCCCCTGGCCGAGCCAGGAGCTCCCGGCTCAGTCAGTCCCCAGCCGCCGCGCTGTTGCCGTTTTGGGGTGCCGCGCCTGCGGGCCGGACTAGGAGGTGGAGGAGAGCCGGGGCCGGTGGCCGAGAACCATGCGCTCCCGGAGCGCACCGTAAGGCTTGCGGCGTCGGGGTTCGCGCGGGGCGGGCGCGGGGGAGGAGCGGCCACAGTCTGGGCTGGGCTGGACTGGACGCAGGTGCGGGGGCGCCCAGGGCCCCATCATCCCCAACCTCGGGAGCAGCCGCTGGCACAGGGGTTTAGGAGGGGGCTTTAGGCTTTGCCTGAAAGCAATTAAGGCTCTCTGGAAAGACAGGGGGAAGGGTGCCCCTAGGTAGAGGCTGCCCTGGGCCGGAGACTTTGATCCTCCCTCTATTAGAAAAGAGCAATTTTAAACAAACCGAACTTGCAAAGCAAACAAACTCGACAGCCTGAGATGCCCGACAGCCTTTGACCCATTTAAACAAACAAACAAACAAAAAACACCCTCCCCCCCCAAAAAAATCCACCAGCTTGGTCGGGTACCAATCCTCTATCTTTGGATATTTCGGGACCAGTCAAATCCTACACAACCGAAGTCCCAAGGATTGAGTCTTGTCTCTTTGACCTGTTGCCCCAGCTCATTTCCACTCTCCCAGCCTCTCCCCCCTTCCTCACCGCCGGGCTTTAATAACAGGAAGTTATGTTTTGCCCTATGTCGGTGGCCCCGCCGCCTTTGAGAGGTCCCTCGGGGCTGTGGCTCCCACTCGGGCCATCTCGGATCTCCCGGTGCCTCTCCCGGCACCTCTCCTGGCCTTCCGTGGGAGGGAGGGCCCAGGTGGCAGCCGGTACTGTGCCCGCCCTGGGCCCACCTCTCGGCTTAGCCTCCCCGGGGAAGGAAGTATTGTTTCGGAGAGGCGCCTTGCTTAATTCCGGCACCTGTAGTTGGTTGCCTGGCCCAAGCTGGAGAATTGGAGGCAACTTTTACCAACCCCAGCCTAACAGCCAGGCCAGGCTTTGCATTGTCAAACGCATGAGATCCGGGCAAGAGAAAGAGGCTCCTGAAACCTAAGGAAATGTAGAACTTGCCTCATGGACTCTTGAGATAGAAAGTCCTTGCATTTAGCGTTTCTGTGCTGAGGAGAGGGGTCTTGGGGTAGGCGTTGGGGGAATTGGTGAAAGGTGCTGCCAGAGACCTTGGAGGCCTTGTGGTTTTGCTGGGAGTTTGGACATCTGATGCTGATCCGTGCTCCTGCTAGCTTTAAGATATAAATGATGTGGTTTCAGTTAAAGATGAAATAACTACATTGCCCACCACCACAGCAGGCAGGTCTGCCAGGGGTAGGAGGAGGAAGGCAAGTGTGCCATGGGATAGCTGCAGTGCCCCCCTTTCCATGCCTGGCCTGTGTTGGCACATGCACCCCACCCCATCCAGGCCTTTCTTCATTCCCTGGGGCAGCAGTCTTGACAAGTCTGTTGCTTCTCCAGCCAGACTTAGACGATCCTATCAATCCCCACTCCCACCCTCACCTGCGCCTCTATCTGAGATCTTTAATTACTAGGAATCCTGGAGTAATAACTTGTCTTCTTCAGCATTCAGAGCTGGGGCTTTTAAGAGGCACCAGAGTGTATGGAGTCCAGATTGTTAGCCTCCACTAGGTCTGCTGGGTTGGTGGGTTTTTTTTTTTTTTT